CATTCATCCTTGTTCACCCCGGGGTCAGGGAAAACAATGTAGCAGGTGCCTAGGTGGGGAAAGCTGGCTCCTCACAGGTGGCGACCGAGGCAAGAGACCTGAAACCTGTGGCCAAAGCAGGCCTGGTGGGTCAGCTACAGTTGTACCCCAAAAGGGACTAAAGACTGGGGACGGCTACACTAGCCTAGATATGTACTAGATGACCAACTGGGTATGTTTAAGTGTACTCTGTGATGTTCTCACAATAAAATTACCTGTGCATTCCTTAGAATGTTACCATTATTCAGTGACATAACTGCAATCTATACAATTTTAAATCAAAAGTTAACAAATAAAAATATATGGATGGTTTCATCATCCCCTCACCCTAAAAAATTTGGTGACCCCCCCCACATGATATCTGCAAATGGAACCTTTGGGAGATAAAATTAAGTTTAAAGAAAGTCATGAGTGCGGACATTCCTGAGATTCATTTTTAAATTTTATTAGTACATGCTTGAATACATAACTATATTAATTGTGAGTTGGTATGTGTAATTTTTTGACAGAACAGAGCTCATTTGCTTTCCATGTGATAACAGTGAGAAGGCAGTTCAGCTGTTTGCATGCCAGAGGGCCCCCTCACTAGAAGTTTGCTGGCAATGTATGCTTAGACTTCTTGGTCCTCAAAACAAAGAATCAGTGATACATAACTGTAATTTCAGCTGCTTGGAAGGACAGAGCAAGTCATCTAGTTCAAGGCCATTTTGAGAAACTTAGTAAGATCCTGTCCCAAAATACTATTTTAAAAATTATTTTTCCTATTTGTTGTGGTTGGGGATTGAAATGAAGGTCTTTCAGTAGCACTACACTACATTCTCAATTCTTGAGATGGGACTTGCTAATCTTCCTAGGCTATGCTAGAACATGCAATTTTCCTGGCTCCTCTAGTATTGGGATTGCTTGTGGACACACCAGGAAGCTTATTGCTGGTTGACTGTCTACCTTCCAGTACTTTCCATGGGTCAGAGGAGCATTACTGAGGATCCCTTGTAGTCAGTGAACTGCTTTTTTCCTACTGCTTCTGACTGTTTTGTGGATTTGAGCTTACTGTAATTTGTTGCGTTTTTGGATGTGCAACTGACATTTTTCATCAAAATTTTCACTTCTTGGATATTTGTTCAAATATACTTTCTCTCCTGAAATTTGCAGTCTACAAATTAGTGCACTTAATAGAGTTGTGCAGATCTATTTTTAATTGGCCTGTTGTCAGGTTCATTAATTCTAGCAATTCACATCTGTTGAGATCCTCTAGATCAGTGGTGGTAAACCTTTGGCACACATGCCACAGCTGGCTGTCATCTTTGAAAGCGCTGAAAGGTTCACTGTCACTGCTCTACATCATTTTTAATTTTGGTGATAAATTTCTCTTAATATTTAGTCCCTTAACAGTTTTAGGTGCTTAGACATGATTACAAAAAGCCAACTTAAAGTATTTGATTAAGCCCAACATCTGAGACCTCTTCATACAGTTCCTGTTCCTTTATGTATCTTGTAATGTTTTGCTGAAAAGTAGACTGTGATAACTCTGGATATTAGAATCTTTTGCCTAGACTTGTATTTACTGTTTGCTTAGAGACCTTCCTGTACTTTCTAAGATATGCATTCTTTGCTGTGTGAACAGTGGAGTCTTTGCTTTATTAGCTGTGTAATCAGCTACTCTTTGGGAAAAGATTTCTTTAAATGTCTCACCACTCTGTGTTGGGATTACGACTTTGACAGTTCAGCAAGAAGCTCAGACTGTGCCTTAGCTTCATTTTCTGCTCACACAGAGCCTCAAGGTCTGACACAAATAAAACTAGTGCTTTCTTAGGGTTCTTCTGAGAAGCCCTGCACAATACATTCAAGATTCTCAGGAATATGATGGATCTTCCCTCTCACCGCCTATTTTTTGGGCAGCCTCTTTTCAGCCCCTACCGCTTCAGGCAACTATGTTAGAATATTTTCCCACAAACTCCTTGGATATTGAGATATTTGCACTAAGTGAGCTGAATCCAATTAAATAAAGACAAGCTCTGAAAATAAATCTTTTCAAAAACCGAGATGTCAGGGCCAGGGATTTAGCTCAGTGGTTCTGCTTGCCTGCTTTGCAAGCACAAGGACCTGAGTTCAATCCCTGGTACCGAAGCGGGGCGGGGGGAAGATGCCATTCAGGCTAAACAGTGACAACTCTTTAAAGTAAGTTTTTTGGGATAGTTTAATGGCTGTTTGGGAGGAAATTCTAAACTTGTTCTTTTGAGAGAGCTTCAAGTCATCTCCAACAGCTGGTATAGTAGGCTGCTGGCTTTCATAGCTATGAAGGTTATAATGGGGCTACAGGAAATGGGACAGGCTAAGTTAAATACTACAAAAAACTGCTACATTTAAAGGATCTTCCAATTGTTAGATGCCTTTGGTTAATTTTAGAGTTCTGAATAAGTTGATTTTTTAATAGTGTTATTACTGTGACAACAGTGGATTTTCAGACAAATCCAGAAATGCTCTTATTTTTATAGTTGCAACTGCACACTAATATTCCTTTCTTATGGTTGATTAGCAGTAATGCCTCAGTTTATAAATGCTTGTTTCCAAACAGTTCAGTTTGCAAACAAAAGCATTTGGCAAAATTTTGCTTCTGTTCACAAACTCTACACCAGGAGACAAAAACAACCAACCACAGCCTTCTTCCCCACATAAACATAATCACAACCATCTTCCCCACATATGTAAAACAAATTAAGTTTATAAACCAAGGTACCAGTATAAAAGAAGAAAAAATTTATTTCCCAAATAGAAATAAAAGGATGTTTAGATGACTTTTCTCACCTAGCATTTAGTTACTTCATCCAAGTCAGCATCCTCAACCTTGGTTCTCTCGAATACACTTTGCTCAGAAGGTTAATGATAATGTACCAGGTGTGGTGGCACATGCCTATAATCCCAGCCACTCAAGAAGCTGAAGCAGGACGGTCTGAGGTTCAAGGCCTGTCTGAGCAACTCAGTGAGATCCTGTCTAAAATTATTAAAAAAGTAAAAAGGGCTAGGAATTATAGCTCAGTAGAGTGCCCTGGTTTCAATCCCCAGCAGCACAAAAAGAGACCATGTAAAACTTACTACCCAGCTACAATACTCAAAACAGTGTAGCACTGATAATAAGGACAAATATATACACCACTGGAATACAAAGCTTCAAAAATAAACCCTCACATACAAGGTCAACTGATTCCAAACAAAGGCAACATCATCATCCCCGCCATGATCCCGGCACCAGGGATCAAACTTGGGACCTTTTGCTTGCCAGGCAAGCACCAACACCACTGAAATTAATCCCTGGCCCCAACATCATTTGTTATGGCCCGTGTCTAGATGTTGCCCCAAAGCTTCATGTGGCTTTTCAGAGGTGGCTGCATGTAGAGTATATCATGCTGGGGTTAAGTGTGTGATGCTGGGATCAAAGGTATGTGATTTCTAAATTGGTACACTGACCAGCTTGACATAGTTCTGGGTGTGGATAATGGGAAGGCCCACACTGGATGTGAGTGCTACCTGCCCAAAGGGCAGTAGCCAGGACAGAATGTAAGGGACAGAAAGAGGGCTGCTATTGTTGGCTGTTGCTTATTTCTTTGCTGACTGCTACCTTGCTGCCATCTGCTGCCATGAACTGTTTCTCCTCTGCCATGCCACCCTGCTTTGGAAACAGCTGACTGCGAACAGAAACCTCTACAACCTGTGAGCTACAGTAAACCTTTCCTCCTTTAACTTTGGGTGCAGGTATTTTATCTTAGCAACAAGAAAACTAACTAAAACATTCAATGAAGAAATGACCACCCTCTGAGAAAAACTGAAATCCACATGCAAATGAAAAAAGTTAGACCTCGACCATTACCATATACAAAATTAAAAAATGGATCAAAGATCCTAAGAGCTGAAACTATAAAACTCTACTGGAAAATCTTCACAGCACTGGATCAGATGTTGACTTTTTCAATATGATACCAAAGGTACAAAAGAAGAAAAAATATGCTATACTTTATCAAAATTAAAATATTTTGTACATCAATGATACTTACCGAGAAGAAAACCTCGAGAAAATATTTATCATATACTTAAAAAGAGACTAATATCCAGAATATATAAAGAACTCCTTTAATTCATCAAGAAAGCAACCCAATTTAAAAATGGGTGAAGGAGAAGGGCACCTATAGTTTAAACTACTGTATTTAGGAGGACTGCTGTATACAGAAGGACTGCTTAAGCCCAGGTAGCCCTGGGTAAATCCTGACTCAAAAAAACCAACAACAACAACAAAAAAAACAAAACCAGTTAAAAGAGGTACATTTGGTTATGTATAGTTACCAGAATAAATTTTACAGTAATAAAGTATCCAAGAAGAGTTCATCACAAAAGATGAGCCAAATGAGCAAGTGCTTATAAGAAATTACTAACTTACGGTAGTATTTTATGAAACTTTAACTAGTAGTAATAGCCAACAGTATTTCTCCTCCCCTGTACAACACACACACACACACACACACACACACACACACACACATGCTCACACAATACATTCAGTGTTCTATTAAATACCTGTAATTATATTTTGCAAAGGATCACACATCCAATGACTTTACTAATGATGCAGTTTATGTCCTCCCATACCGACAGATAAAAACACACATTCTCTAAGCACAAAGCTTATATTCACAAATAACTTTCTGCTTAGACAAAATTTCAATTAATAACCACAATGGGAATTTAGTTATTTAATGCAACCACTATCTAATGTCATCAATAAAATCTAAACAGTTTTACCACAAAACCAGGATTATAGTCAATGGACATGCATTAATAATCTATACAGTTTAACATACCAGAAAAGAATTGAATATAAAAGTATTCTTTAAATTTTGGTAGTTTTCAAATTTCATGGCACAAATTACCAAAAAAAATAAAAACAAAAAAACAAAACCCAAAACCCTGTAAAAACAGATTTCAAATATTTTCAATAAAATGGTTAAAAAATTGAATAAGCCTTAAGTTTTCATACTTGGCTTAAGACTTAAAACGTCAAGCTGGCCCCAATCTGTCAAAACTGACAGATAAATATTTACAATGAATAGGCAGACTTTCGTTACAATGGTACGGCAGGTCTAACTCCCTATCAAAACCCTTTGGGGTTAATTTCTCAATGCAAACAGGTTTGTGTAAATACTGTGGTAATATAAACTTGAAGACATACCTATTAATCAGGACAGGGAAGAAAAATAAACATGTAAGTTCATCTTATTTCTGACCTGTCAGCATAAACTCTTCTGGCTTCCAAACAGTCAATACTGTCCCTCAATAAAAGACTAAGAGTAGAAGGACTTTACCCTATTGTTTGACTACAAACAATTTTGTTTTTCTACAAAATTATTTTTCACATGTGTCAAAGCAGGGCTCAAACTCCATTAACTTCTTTCCACAGAGTGTAATTAGCAGAGCATCAAATTTATAAACTGATATGGCAACTTCAAATGCTAAGCACACTTTTCAAACAAGCAACCTGTTTTCCCCATTGTTAGTTGTATGTGCCATATTAATTCTGGAAACTTACATGACTACTACCAATAAGAAATGAATTAGGAGGCTTTGAACATATCTTGTACTTTTCATCAAGGCTAAAGTGCAAAATATCTCCGTATCTCTGATATTTTAATAGGAAAAGAACATTAAACACATAAGATAGAGGAAACGAAGACAGTAGAATACAAAAAAAGAACTCTTAAATATATAACTGAGGACTACATATTACTACCAATTTTTCCTTCTTCAGTGAAATCTGTTAAGGAACCACGTTCTCATAGAACTTAAAATTTTGTCTGATTCTCTTTCCCATGACCAGAAATTCTAAACTTACAGGGAAGAAACTGGAAAAAAAATAACATTGCATGACAATGGACACTAAGTTCATAAAGAACTTCTTTTTAAATGCGATATTATGGAAGAAAATACCATGAAAATTATAATCCTATGAGAATTGTTTTTAAGCATAGTAAATTTGAGCCTTGTTCTTCATGAAGATACTACAGTTTATATAGAAAACTATAAATATACAAGACTCCGGTGGGGGTGTGTGTGGAATACATACTACTGTATTTAACATTCCATAGGCCTAGAAAACTTTTGAGGGGAGGGAAAAATTATAGCCAATTGAATCTTAAGAATACATAACTATGAAAAATTCCTGGGTCAAAGAGTGCTCCAAATGGAACTATACTTTTGAAAGCATACAAATTAGAAATATTTTTTAAGGGAAATAAAAAGTATTGAATAACTGCAGTCCCTTCCAAAAAGTAAATCTTAAATTAAGGGGAAGTAATTCTAATAGTGTAAACGAGTCTGGCTCAGAAAGGAAACTGAACAACATATCCAAGGTCTGTCCATAAAAGTAATGATGGTACATCTTTAATATTAAAGAATTAGGCTATAAAAAAGCTCAGTCCAGAATTGGTTTCTAAAAGCTCATTTGTGCTCCTTGGTGGGGGCGTAATAAAGTTCCATGGGTTTGTTCACTTTCCAGTATTTCTCACTGACCAATTCCAATGAAAAAGAGCCATTTAATACCTACAACAAAAAAGAAAAAAAAAATTATGAAAATTGTATGAACCATCATAAATAGCACAGAAAGAGGTTAACAGATTTTTTTTTAATCTTAAGAATACCAGTCACTTACATTTTTTTTGTAACAAAACAAAGGGTATCAAAAAAAATCAACTATTCTGTTGTGCTTCTTGTGGTTTTATAGTCTTGTTAGGCCCTCCCCACCATCTGACACTCAGATCAATGTACTCCCAGCTTCAACAGTCTGTTTTTTTTTTTTTTTTTGGTACCGGGAATCAAACTCAGGTCCTTGTGCTTGCAAGGCAAGCACCAGAACCACTGAGCTAAATTCCTGGCCAGTCTGTTATTTCAAATACTCACAGTGAACTGGCCACTGGCTGTTGCTATATAAATGGTATACTGCTTCTCACTGGCTGTATCAAGGTTCATCTGGTTCGATTCTCCTTTGCTTCGCAGTTCTTCTAAAGCTAACCTCACAGCCAGATACTTTGATAGGTGATCAACAGTGGCATTACCTGAAGTCTTTATGTATCTGGAAGAATTAATCATTAAAAATTTAATGTACAGAATGTATGAGAAAAATGCACTTAAATTATAGAACTATTTCTAAAAAGCTAAGTGAAATGTAAGTAAAATGTTCACATGTCTCAATTATTGTCAAAGTAATAGAAATTTGTCATTCTATGATCTAAAACTTTCTTATTGAAAAGCACAGAAGAGAACTTACTTACATGCTCACTATCTGACTGCTAGGTAATTAAATCTCCCTTACCTTCTGTAAAACATGACATAAAGTGATAAAATCAAACAGAAATACACCAAGTGCTAAAAGTAAAACAGAACAACATCCTTTAACACCAATAATCAGATCCGTTGGATGCATCAGCAATAAGAATAGTAATATTAAAGAAACTGCTTATTATCTAGGAAATTTAAATTTTTGGTTAAGAAGGAGTATATTAGGGTCAATCTTTCAGTTTTCTTAAAAACCACTCAGCCGCTCATTCAATAAACTTTGATGTGTATCTACACTCCATGACAGGCAGTGTGTTGCAAATACTTCAGTAAATTCACTCTTACCACTAGCACCCTGGTATCACTGTTAAGAAATGAGGAGGGGCCTTTTTCCTCCTGTCTAGGAGGGTCACTCCTTTCATGCAATGCTGGATGACAAGTACACAAGGGAGGTAGCAAACAACCATTAGCAGTGGGACAACTACTGGTTCTCTACTTATACAAAATTGCCTTTAACTCCAAATTAAACATTTTGAATTCAGATTAACCCACATACTTACCTTGTCTGTGCACTGTCATCTTTTTCCATAAGTGTGGGATGAGGCCTGAATACTAACTCAATTTCACTAGCACCATCCATTACTGGATCAATTGCTACCGTTGCATTGTTATTATCAAGTTCAAGCCCAGAATCATCAGATGTTTTGGTCCGTTTGTTACTAGGGCCAGCCTCCTGATTGCTATGTGTGGATGCATTACTACAGTGTGAACTGTCACCATTATCTTCTGCTCCACTACCATTTTCAATCTGTTGTTTCTTGCCTCGCTGTAATCTAGTAAAGAAGAATGGGGTAGGAAGAATAAATGAAATGTACACTTAGTCAAAGAATCACGTTTGAAGCATATCTGCTACTAAATTCAAGATTCTAAAAAAATCTTGATAATTTGGTGACCTGCATAATTATCTTTCCCCATATGTTCCTGAAATTTCACCACATACAAATACTTAAGGCATAAATCATAATATTCTTAAGCAAACAAAAAAAAAATTTTTTTTTGGCTTTTTGAGACAGGGTCTCACTATGTAGTTGAGACTGACCTGGAACTCACTATGTAGCCCAGGCTGGTCTCGAACTCAGTGATCCTCCTGCCTCAGCCTCCCAAGTGCTGGGATTACAGGCATGCGCCACCACGCCCGGCCAAAACAAACAAAATTTTAAAAAAGGATAGTAAACATTCTGTTCCTTTTGATTTCCTACAAAGTAGGCCAATGCAATGTAAATGACACAGTTACAGATACAACTTGCTAACCAATTACTGGACAAGGCACTCTGCTTACATAATCTCACTTATTCTTCAAAACAACCCAGAAAAAGAGTAACATTACCCTCATTTTGTAGTTGAGAAAACCAAAGAAACTGAGGTATAAAGTTAAAATACTCTTCCTACATTAATGTAACTATCTATCAAAAAGAAAGGGAAGGGAAGGGAGAGGAGAAAAGAAAAGTGACACATGATGACAAAGAAGTATGAAAGAGTGACAGACACTTCTAAGAAGAGTGTCATTATTATGTTTGCAATAAACAACAGAACAAGCAAATAATGGCCCATTGGTTAGAAAAGATGATCAAGAAGTCACGGTCTTGCGGTTTATAAATTAAAGAATAAAATAAAGGCAAGGGTAGGAAACAGGGAAGCACTTTCTGGAGGTAGGAAAGGAGGTCAGCAGAAGGGAGGGAGGAGGAGAAAGATGGTAAAGGGACCAAAATATATATAAGACATATATGTACCAACTTCTCCCAAACAAATGTAATTACTATATATTGCAAACACCACCAATTAAAGAATTTTTACTTAAAAAAAAAATCTAGAGATAATTTCAAAGTGAAGAGGGGATGACCTAAATGCTAACTGGCAAAACGATGATTCAAAAAGATATAAATACATACTCTGGAATGTTAGCTTTCAAAAGGAAGAAAATCCCTGTCTGCATCACTATACAAATGAATATGTAAATATGTTGAGGATATTGTGAGAAGTGAAATAAGCCAGGCACAAAAAGATAAACACTGTATGCTTCAACCTACATGAGTTATTAACTCTTTGAAACAAAGTAAAAAAAGAAGAAATGGAGAGTAACTGATTAACGGATAATTTTAGTTTTATAAGATGAAAAAACTGCTGGAGATCTGTTGCACAACAATGTGAATAAACTTAACACAACTGAATGCCATGCTTACAAAAAAAAAAATTTTTTTTTTTTGTACCAGGGATTGAACTCAGGCCCTTGTGCTTGCAAGGCAGGCAGCAGAACCACTGAGCCAAACCCCTGGCCCCACAAATGGTTTTAAAAAGTTAATTTGGGGGGGTGGGGTAACGGGGATCAAACTTGGGTCCTTGTGCTTATGAGGCAGGCGTTGGAACCACTGAGCTAAATCGCTGGCCCTTAAAAAGTTAATTTTATGTCACATTTTTAAAACCGCAATTTTAAAAAAATGCACAAACCCAAATGGGACAGTAAAAACCTCAATAATCACAACATAAAGATGATACTTAAATATGTTCTAAAATCCACAACAGAAGTGAAAATTTTAAAAAATTTGTTTTACATGATTATAAATTGAAGTAATCTAACAAGTTCCCTAAGACTTTATTTTTACCCCAAAACTCTTTCCAAAATAGGACTGAAGTGACAGCTAGGTTAATATAATTTCAGAAAACACTTAACTAGTGCTCAGATAAAGGCAAACGGCCTATTTATATCCTGTTTATCAAATTACATCTGTATTAGTACATACTGTACTGATGATAGTTCCATTTTAAGAATAACACCAATAATCTTGAGTGTCATATAAAGTAGAATAATCAGAATATGAATATTTAGCCTTGAAAGGAACATGTAAGAACATATAACTTCATAAAAATACTTGAAAACTAGAGGTAGAATCTGAAAAACGTGTAGAATCCAACATAAGTATTTCAACAGAAGACAGACCTAGATTCTTATACACTGAGCAAAATTTTAATTCAATATAAAGGAAGAACTTCACAGTTTTTTCACACATTCAAAAATATTTACTGAACAGTTATTTTAAAGCCAAACATGGTTCCCAGTACTGAAGTAGAAGTCAACAAGATGGACACAATCTCTGCCCTATCAAAACATATTTTAATGCAGCAAACAACATATGTAGATAATAAGTGCTATGGAGAAAAAACAGGCAGAGAAAGGTAAGGAAGTATGCAGTGCTAGGGTGGATTAGAACTTAGCAGATACTTGAAAAAAGTGAAGGAATATTTTATGTGGATTATTAAGAATCTCTGAAAGAGTAAAAATACAAAGGCCCTGAGGCAGAAAAATACTTGGTGAGTTTGAAGAACAATAAGGAAGCCTTAATAAAGTTATCAACAAATAAAAGGATTTCCCATCATACAGGCCCAATGCTAGAAACATTCAAGTAAAATCAAAGCACTGTAAATGATTTTGCTAAGAGATTCTTTTTTTTTTTTTCTTTTTTATTGAGGTTATTGGTACAATCTAGGTATACAAATACAGTTACATTCATCATTGGGATTCTGTACCTTTTCATAATAGGTCTTGATTCTCATTTTTTCCCCTTGTCCCTGCCCTCCCTTCACCCCCTCCTCCCCTCCCCATTTACAAACACTTTATTTCCATTTTTTCAGTTTCTCATATTTTTTTCCTCTCCCTTATTACCTTTCCCCCACCCTTCCAAATACTTGGTGAGTTTGAAGAACAATAAGGAAGCCTTAATAAAGTTATCAACAAATAAAAGGATTTCCCATCATACAGGCCCAATGCTAGAAACATTCAAGTAAAATCAAAGCACTGTAAATGATTTTGCTAAGAGATTCTTTTTTTTTTTTTCTTTTTTATTGAGGTTATTGGTACAATCTAGGTATACAAATACAGTTACATTCATCATTGGGATTCTGTACCTTTTCATAATAGGTCTTGATTCTCATTTTTTCCCCTTGTCCCTGCCCTCCCTTCACCCCCTCCTCCCCTCCCCATTTACAAACACTTTATTTCCATTTTTTCAGTTTCTCATATTTTTTTCCTCTCCCTTATTACCTTTCCCCCACCCTTCCAAATACTTGGTGAGTTTGAAGAACAATAAGGAAGCCTTAATAAAGTTATCAACAAATAAAAGGATTTCCCATCATTTTTTTTTTTTTAATGGAATGTGCTGAATGTCTATAATTTTGTTCAGATGACTGCAGAAACTGGAAAAGCTGCTACTGCTATCGATGCATAACATACTATTATTAGTCTTATACATATATGTCTTATATATATATATATAGTCTTATATATATAGTCTTATATATATATGTATACACACACACACACACTATAAATTGAATTTTGGGAAACTTTAACAGTGCTGCCAACTTTGGAAAAAGTCATCCCAATTTACTGTGTTGACTTGGCATTGTACAGAAATGGACAACCATATTGGTCTAGAAATATTAATTTATTTTATTTATTTTTTTTCCATGTGTACAGGGGTCACACATTGTATTAAATGTGTAAGGTCATATCTACATGGGTTTGATTACAGAAACTAATAAAGTATTCTCTAAATAATGAAAAAAGAATAAGATAAGACTATAAGAGCGAGAAGAAATTTAAATATGTTCAGGGACCATTTTCATCTCCAGAATTAAGGATTATTTTGATGTTACATCATTGCCTTTTCTCTTTTACTTTCCTTTTTAGTTTTATTTTAGGATTCCCTATTTTTAATGTTCATACAGAGATTTCTTTAACTGAAATACCGAATAGTTTCTTTGGCGTGAAAAACTATAATAGTACACAGGATCCTAATGAGACAATTAATAATGTGAAATAGGAAGTAAAGGGCTAAAGGTGTAAGAGATTCTTATTCTTCATGAAAGACTAAGCAACCATTAATTAAAGTTCTTCCAACTCTTAAAAAAGTATATTATTCTTAAAAATATATATACTCAAAATTTATTACTTAAATAGTGGTAGCTCAGGCTTACATGGTTAGAGTGGAATACATCTTTTGGGTTTGTTTGGTACCAAAGATCGAACTCAGGACCTCACACTTGCCAGGTAGGTGCTGTGCCACTGAGTTACACTCTTGGCTCTTGGAACACATCTTTTAACCTGTAAGCCAGTGATTTTTTTTTTTTGTTTTTTACCTTGGTTAATTAGAACCACTTAAAAACAGTGTGCCTAGGTGCCAATTACTTGGTCTTGTGTGATACCTGAAGCCCTGAGGCTTAAAAGCTTTACAGGTGATTCTGATATTTAGTCAAGGTAACAACCATTAGATTGAGATGAAGCTTTTTATTGGCATCTCCTACTTTTCCATACTTTGGAAAATAATGATCATCCCTAAAGTCTGAATAAATTAGGAAAAAAAAAAAGAATGAGGGTAAACCAAAAGCACAGATCAGGCAGGGTTCTTGAGAGCCATCACTGGGGTTTTCTGTGTGCCAAGGGGGGGGTGCTATTTTGCTTTTTGAGACAGGTCTCACTATGCAGTTCAGGCTGGCCTTGAATTCACTACGTAAGTACAGGGTGGCCTCAAACTCATGGTGATCCTCCTGCTTCAGCCTCTTGAGCACTGAGATTACAGGAGAGCACCACCATACCCAGCAAAATTTTGTGGTTTTTAATCTAAAGTGAAAGAATCTACTAGAAGATTCTAAGGAAAGGACAATCATGATGTGTATTTCAATTTAACAGAATCGCTATGTGCTGAAAATAGACCGTGACAGTAGCATGGAAAGCAGAAAAATGAGCTGGAAGTCTATTTTAAATGATGGTGTTGGCCTGGCCAATATAGATATACTATAGAGAAAGCTGAAAATCTTTCTATTTGTTAGTTATAATAAGATTTATTTAAGGATGATTTCAAAGTTTATGTCTAAAGCAAATGGAATGATAGAGTTGCTATCAACTAAAATGAACAACAATGACAAGAAAGGCCAGGGATGTAGCTCAGGGGTACCTCACCTGCCTCACAAATGCAAGGTCCTGAGTTCAATCCCCAGTACCAGAAAACAAACAAGCCAACAAACAAAAAACAAAACAACGATAAGCAAGAAGTAAGAATCAAAAGTTCAGTAACTTTGACATGCTTATTAGCTGTCTAAGAGGAGATGGACAGTCCAGCCCGGATATATACATCTGGGAATCATCAGCACAGTAGATGGTACTAAAGCCAGGAAACTGGTAGAGGTCATCTGGAGACAGACTTCATACTCAAAGAGGACTGAACCTTAGGACATTCTACTTTGAATAGTCAGGGGAACTGGAACAAACTTACAAGAGAAACTTAGAAGGAACAGTTGGTGACATAAAAAGGGAACCTGGAAAAATGGGTCTTCCAAAAACAAGGAGGAAAGAAAAACTGTGCCAAATGCCACTCAGTAAGATGATGAGGTCTAAGAATCAGTCATTAGACTGCATAATGCAAAGGTCAATGACAACTTTCACAAAGGCAATATGATGGGAGACTGTGAGGATGAAAGCCTGACTGAAGGTTGTTCATCATAAAAGAATGGAAAAAGAAACATAGGCAACTCTTTCAAGTTTTACTTGAAAGAAAAGAAGAGAAGTTGGATGGTGGGGATAATTCTAGTATTTTAAATCAAATACTCTATCATACCTAGAAGCATATTGTACCTGTATGAAAAGGTAATCATGCAGAATTGCTATATGCTAATGTATTTTACACTTTTCAAAAAGCAAATTCAATATTTAATAAAATATTTCAAAAAATGGCCACTCTCTCTAGCCCTCCTTCCCAAAAATACCTGTTCATGGCCTGGATCTTCAGACCTTCTTCAATGCTATGACTGAGTGCCTGCTGATTATTGTGCTTGTTGATCCTGGCTAATACTCTCTCTTGATGAGCTTCATACTCATCACGACTTGGATAAATTTTGCTGATGAGTGCATCAAAGTTTGGGTCTGGCCTTAGTGATCTTTTGGAAACTAGTTTTTTCCGACAGGTAGGACATTCTTTGTTACTAAAAAGAGAGGGGAAGAAAATGTAAATGATGCCTGTATCTTTGGGCTAAAAACAAAAATATCCAGCTTCTATTCAGTTACCATCTTTACTGCAGTACCTTTCTGAGGTCACAGAAATTTAAAACATGAACAGAATTTCTTTAAATCTCTGACAAGTAGGTAAAAGCAAGATTTTGCCAACCTCAGATACTACCACTGCCAAAAGAGAAAACCTTAAATACTTCTCAGTGATAATATATACATAACCACTTTAGAAACAAAAATCTCTTCTTTCCTAAGTTTTAACTGCCCCTTTCTGATATCCAAACCATACATGGAAAATCTATCTATATGTTATCAATTTTCTTACTGACATAACTTTCATAAGAATATTATTTCATATACTTCAAACTCCAGAGAGCCACCTACAGACATGCTAGAATTTGAATAGCTAGTATAATTCATTTCAACATACCCACTTCTTAGGGCTGTGATAATACAATCTGCACAAAAACGGTGCAAACACTCCTTTGTAGTCATGGTGTTTTTCAACATATCCAAACAAATTGGGCACATTAATTCGCTGTGAAGACTTCTAGGTGAAACCACAATTTCCAAGCCATCTGTTATTGCCTCCTGTAAAAGAGTTACAAGTCACTTTAAAATTAAAACACTACTTATTTTTTTAATATGGCAAATTCAAATATATAAAATTACTGAAAAGGGTTAAATTCAACATCTATCAGCCTATCACTCAGCCAGCACTCTTGTCAACTCACAGTCTATCCTGACTTAGCTGTAATCTTCTACCTGTAATCCCATCACCACTGCATTCTGTACATGCTTATTTTAAAAGTAAAGATAATTTACTAATAAGGTTAAGTAGGAAATTATCTTGGTACTTTAAAAAAAACATTAAGTTGGGAACCATGCGCCTTAGTAATTCTAGTTATTTGAATTAGCTTATGACTCTAAAACACTGCTCTTTTATCTGAAAATGAAAGATTAAATGAAAATGGATTAACTGAACCCTAAGAATTCTTTATCTTCAATTACTATTCCATTCTGACAAGTTTTATGTTGCCCCTTATACCATCTTAGGATTCCAGAAAAGTACTGATTAATAAAATTTCACTTTAAAATCTCAAAAAGTCTTGTTCCACAATGGAATTTTTATAAAAAGTGGTTAGGCTCTCAGGTTAACCCAAAAGTATTTCTCTGCAAAAATGTTTTTGGAGTTCCAATGCAGAAGTCCAGGACCATCTCTGTGCTGCAGGGGAGTCCTACTTGTTTACCACCACCACTACTCACCGTCCACACAGGTGGCACTGAGGACAAAAATTATTAACTCCAACCTCTGATACTGGCTCCTATGGACTGAGGAAAGTTCTAGTTCTAGTATATTGAAAAGGAATATAAGTAAGTGAAAGATCGCTTACTCCACAAGAAAAGACATAGAAATCATAGACACTGTCCATAAAAGAGCTCAAGGAAAATATATTTACATTTATAATAACAACCACCATTATCAAGTAATTGTTATGCTTCAACCTCTCTATAAAGCATTCTCCATAGTATTTTATTTTACTAAGACAAGCTTATTTTTTTTCCTTTTCCTTTTTTAAAAATAGAATTCTATTTCCAATTGCCACGTAATAATTGTAGTATTTATGGGGTACATAGGACATTTTAATAAATGTACAAAATATAAAAATAATCAGGTTAGCTGCCATATCTATCACTTGAGACATATTTATCTTATCTTTCTTTGTGTTGGGACCACTCAAAATCCTCTCCAACAGGGAAACTTATGATTCAGGAATTATAATTTCTACTTTATGGGTGAAGAAATTTATCATTCAGTAAGTACGATAACCCACTTGGATTGCTAACAAAATCCAACTAAACCAATCACCTATGTTTTTCAGGTCTGTACTCATATAGGTGTGTCATACTGTGTGGGAAAAGAGATACCAGATTGGAATCACCAAAAATTTCACTAGCCTCAAACAAGTATTAAAACACTGTTCAACAATTGGTTAATATAACAATTCTTTCTCTAACCTATCTTGTACCTTTACTTCTCTCTGCAAATCTCTTACTACCTGCCACAGATTACTTTGCCTCATAGTGTACTCCATTGAGAGCTTCTTTTATTTCCTTTAGCAAATCTATAAAATAGCTTTGTTTGTTTCAAGGAAAACCTTTATCTCTTCCTATCAAGGTACATTCTTTATTCCTTCTGAAGAAGTCCTTCTTTTGATTTTATTTGCTCTAAGGTTTCAGCAATCTCTCCCTATTATCAGTATAAGGTATTAGAATCTCAATGAGATTATTGCACACTAAAATGTGCAAGGTGTCCCGAGTTTGATCCCCAATACCATAAAAAAAAAGAAGAAAAAATGTGCAAGGTATGAGGGAAATGGGTCACTCATACACAGAACTGAAAATTTCTTAATTTCTGTTTTACCCTCCAGGTTTCTGCTCCATTTCTCTGCTCCCCTGTGCAGTAAAACTTCTCTAAAGAATCCCCTATCTTCTTTTTCACTTTTCTCCATTATACACAATTATCATTTCCTTTCGTTGTATGAACCAACGATGAGAATGCATTTAACCTTTAACCTAGTACAATCTACTCAAGTGCATCTGCTCTTAAGGTAACTGAGTATAAATGCCAAATCTAATACTTTTCTAGTCTTCATTTTATTTCAGCCTATCAGCTCTTTTGAATATATTAACTCCATCCTCCTTCTTGAAACACTCTCTTTAGATGCTGAACACCCTCCACCCTCCAATCTCTCGTTTTTCTTCGTCTATGGATATTCTTACTCTCCTTCACTGGTTCCATTTACTCTGTCCATTACCTAATTTCTAAATGTTGGAGCACCTCTAAATGTAGTTTTTGGCTCTGTTCCAGTTTTCTGATCATATTCATTCCCATCACGGAAGATGTGCTAACAATACCTAAAATTTTATTGAGCCCAGACTCTAGTTAGCATCTCTGCCTGCTGGCTCTTTTATGAGCATTTCAAGGTTAAAATGAGCCCAGTTTTAAGCATATTTGCCTTCAAACCTCTCTTCTAATCTATGCCATCTTACTTCCTCAAAACAGTTCTCCCTAGCAAACCCATCATTATATAGCACAACTTCTCACGTGTGTTCTTTTTAGGGATATTTACTTGTTTAACGTCTACAAACTTCATGGGCTAGAGCCACATCTGTTTTATTCACCACTGTTCCTCCTCTAGTGCCTAACAGAAAGGCTTGTAGGGAATATAAACTTTTTTGTTGAATCAAAGAACGATGCATCACTTAAACACACCTGATTGTCACACACATGCTTTATATTAGTATTGTATTTAAGTTTTTGTTTTCGTTTTCTAAAATTATATCGCAGTTCATATATACCTCATATTTCCCTAGGGTTATTTTAATCTGTATTACCTGAGGAGTTCGTTGTAATTCGTACAAGCTTAGTTCCCATGTCTTGCTTAATGGCTGAGTTCCATTTGTCTGCACAGCCTGGGACATTGCTAGGAATAAAAAGGAGACAAAATAACATTAGTATTTGAAAGGGAAGTACTATAGTCTGAATGTATGTGTATCCCCAAAACTGATGTTCCAACTCCTGGACCTCAGAAAACAATACACCAAAATATAACCCTTTGAACTTCAAACTAAGACCTGGAACTCACTATGTAGCCCAGGCTAGTCTCGAACTCACAGCAATCCTCCTGCCTCAGCCTCCCGAGTGCTGGGATTACAGGCATGCACCACCACACCCAGCTAGAAATGAATATTTTAGAAGATCTTCTTCATGGGTTGGGGATTTAGCTCAGTGGCACGTGCCTGCCTCGCAAATGCAAGGTACTGAGTTTGATCCCTAGTACCAAAAAAAAATCTCCTTTACAATAGCAGCAAACACTATAAAGTCTTTCAGAGTAATTTCACAAAATGTTGAAAGGACAAAACTCTAAAACATAAATGGACAAGAGGACCTGAACTGAATAAAGATATATATAAAATGCATAAATTCAATGAAATTCAATCCCAATCAAAATACCAAAAGGCTGGTTGTGGTAACCCATGCCTGTAATCCTACCAATTAGAAGGCAGTCAGAGGCGGCTCACTTTGAGTTCAATGCGAACCTGAACTATGTACACAGTGAGACTCTGTTTCAAAAAACCAAAACCAAACAAATAAACAAACAAAAACCCCAAATAACAAACAGATTTGAAGGTTTACCTGAAGGATGCATATACCACCTAAAAATCTGTGAAAAAGAGTAGGAGGGAAGTATGACTTACACCAAATATTAAATCTTCATTAAAAAAGCAATACTACAAATCAGTGCAACAAAATAGGATTCAAAAACAAGTATGTAAATTGTTAAAATTTAATGTATTTTTAAATCAAAGGGGTAACAATTTTTTAAATTTTTCAATTAAGTTAGATACCTAAGCAAGTCAATGAATTTTTCAATTCTAGAAGAATTAACTTTTTTCCTCTCTCTACTGTAAGATGTAAGAGAGCAAAATACTATTGGGATAAGGCAGCATCAGCAAGACACCAAATCCTGGCCGGGGATTTAGCTTAGTGGTTCTGCCGCCTACCTCACAAACACAAAGACCTGAGTTCAATCCCCAGTACAAAAAAAAAAAAAAGACACCATACCCAGAAGACTAATAAAAGGTTCATACTTCACCTTTTTAAAAAAAACTTCTATATAAAAATCAACAAAAAAAAACCATAAAAGATAAGCAGGACAGAAAATGTATGCATTGAAAATAATTAAGTCCAATACCTATAACATTACTGAGTATTTAAAAGGCAACTAAATATAGACAAAATCATTAATAGGCAATTAACAGAATACAAGCAGCCAATAAAATTAAATTGTACTTAACATCACTATCATTAAAATTGCAAATCAAAACAATGCTACCTATAATATGTTTTATTTTTTGTCTGATACTGACAAAAATTAAGACTAATGATATCTGGTGTTAGAAAGTATATTACAAATTCTCAAATCATTGGAATACTGTGGTAGCTAAGGCATAATTACTATACTTAGAATAAGGAATGCATTCCTTAAAACAGAAAATGGTTGCACCAAGCTGCATGAGGCCATTATAGAAATCTCTGTGGACATACTGTGACAATGACTTGTACATGTTGAACATCCATATCAGATAAACTGAAATCTGAAATGGTGCAAAATCTGAAACTTTTTTATATGCCACAAATGACAAATTCACACCTGACCTCATGATGAGCTGTACTCAACATTCAGATACTTAATTAATCTAAAAAAAAAAAATCTAAAACACTTCTGGTCCCAAGCATTTCAGACAAGGGATATTCAACCTGTAATATGTTTGGTCTTATTTCCAGGAACTATTTTCTTTTGCTATTTGTACTAAGTCCCTTTTAGCTATACCTGAGTCTATGCTATTGTCAGTGACTCCAGGTGGAGCTCTAGGCAGATTCAAGGTGAGGATGGTTTGAAAGATGACTGGCTAGTAGGACCTTAGTTAACAAATACTTTTGTTTGTGAATAATTTGGCTCACAAACAAAAGCATCTGGCAAAATTTTGTTTTTGTTTACAAACTACATCAGGTGACAAACATGACTGCAGCCATCATTCCCACATGTTTGTTCCCACAAACATGACCATCTTTCCCAAGGTTGTGAAACAAATTTGATTTGAGAACTAAGGTACTTCTACATTATCCACCACAATATATTCAGTACCTTTACTGTACCTAATAAATAGTAAATAATAAATTCAATACTTAACTGTATTTGCCAGAGAACTCAATAATGATGGAAGTTAAAAGAAGAACCTCAAATTAGGCAACAATAACATTTCACATTTTCCTGACTAAAATAGTTACTCAAATTATCATGGAAGAGGAGACTTTCTTTGATGAATCTTGCCATGGCTTCTTACTTCAACAAGGATCAGACAGAACCTGTTCACTGTCAATGCCATCAGCTCTCAGCTGTGTGCCAGATGCCTTTCTCAGATGCATCAGGTACAAAAGCAGACATCAACCTGCAGCTCTACCTTGAACTTTTCACTTCCTATGTGTACATGTTCATATCTTATTACTTTGACAATGGTGATGTAGCATTGGGTAACTTTGTCAAACATTTTCTTCATGAATCTCAAGAGAGGAATAGGCTGAGAAACTGATAAAGGTGCCAAAACCATCAAAGGGGCTGAAGAGAACCTGGTATTGGAACAGAACCACCAAAATAAATACCCAATTATAAAGGGAGAATTAGATGACTAGCTTAAATGATCAGAGGCTAGCTAGTCCCACAATAGCCATCTGCAGGCTGGAGTCTGGGGAAACCAATAGCTGTTCAGTCCAAAGAGCTGGAAGCCTTAGAATGAGAAGGGCCAAGGATCAGCCTAGTTCAAGAAAGAAAATCTAGAGGAGTCCTGAGTGGTGGTCCACATTAAAAGAGTAAAGAAGCTGGAGTCAGTATCTATGGATAATGGCAGCAATAAAACATACTCACTAGAGATTCAAGCATGTGAACTTCTCCTTTCCTCCACTTGTTCCATAGAAGCCAAACTACTGGATGGTGCTACTCTTCTTCAGAGCATGCCTTCCTCACTTAGTTTGCTGACCCACATGCTAAATGTCTGTGGAACCACCCTCACAAACAAACCCAGAAGTGCGCTTAACCAATTTTCTAAACATCTCTCAACCCAGTGAAGTTGACAACCAATATTAACCATCACTCCTCCTTCAGGATATCAAGGAACCAGACCATGATGACTAGGTGAGCAAGCTATATGCAATTTGCATTATACTTAGAAAAAAGTATGCATCATTTACTACTAGAACTGCACAGAATGGTTACTGAAAAAAATACCCGCCCAAAACAAAACACCCTCACTGTGTGACTTCACTGACATGCATTACTTGAATAAGCAGGTGAACTCTACCAAGGATTTGGAAAACTATATCATAAGCAAGCAATATTGGGTGTGGCGTGGGAATGGCAGAACATCTTTTACAAGCACATCCTGGGAGACAATGAAGACAAGAGCTGATGGTAAGAGTGGAGGCCCTCACAGCCATAGCGTAAACTTCCTTGACTGCCAAAGCAATCCATAAGTAAGGTTGGGGACTACTTTAAATTTTCTGTATGCCGTATGAAAACATTCACTTAAGTTCTTTCATTTTTATCACTTCTTCAAATAAAAATAATTTGGTACCACAAGGGAAGTGGGTAAGAAAAGATTTAACAATGAAGAGAAAATACGTTTATGTTTCTCCTTTAAAGGATAAACCTTGAAACTTAAAGATAACTAAACAGCAAGGGGTATAACAGGTACAAGAGGTATTCAGCTCTCTGGTAGTGTATGCTTACATTCAGGGAGGATAAAAACTATGCACGTACACTAGGGGTTGTAAATTATAAGATTTGTCTGATCTTCTCCACTGCAAACATTCATTTACATTTCAAAGATTAAGAATCTAGGATCTTCTTCCAGCCCTCTGGTCCCAAGAAAAATCTGTTAATATCAGAATGCAAAGGTCTATTTTCTTGGAGTGGACATGTATACAAGTTCCCAGATTAAAATATTCTGGTTCCTCACTTAGCAAATATTCAGTTCTCATTGCATTGCCCTGGGGGAAGAACTAGTACAAAGGAGAGCTGAGTAAAGTTATTGCAGCAATAATTAAATACTCTGTCCCTGATGCAGATTTTATGTGCAGTTTCAGAGTAATATGCATAAAAATAACTGTTAAAAATTCATTATTCTAATAGATAGAAGTTGGTTTCTGTTATCCTTTAATTTGGGCTTTAGGAGGCTGAGGTAGCAGAATCACTAGTCTGAGCCCAGCATGGTTAGACTTTATTTATTTATTTTTATTTGTTTTGTTTTTGTTTTTTTGGTACTGGGGATCGAACTCCGGTCCTTGTGTTTTCGAGGCAGGCGGCAGAACCACTGAGCTATATCCCCGGCCTTTTTTTTTTTATTGAGTTTATTGATATATTTTAGGGATACAGTATAGTTACAATCATTGTTGGGATCTTGTACCTCTACATGACAGGTCTTGGTTCTCATTTTATGGTTAGATATTTATCTCAAAATAAAAAGTGCTAGAGTGCAGGTCAGTGCTAAGGACTCAGGTTCAACCTCCAGTACCACACATACCAAAAAACATTTTGAATATTAAAAATTTTTTTTCCAGAACATTGTTTCCAACTAGAAACTAAAATTTTCTTTCTTTCTTTCTTTTTTTTTTTTTTTTAATTTTTGATACAGGGTCTCACCATGTAATTCAGGCTATCCTTGAACTCACTATGTGGAGTCCAGGTTAGCCTTGAACTCAGTGGTGATCATCTTGCCTCAGCTTCCCTAGTGCTGGGATTATGGGCATACACAGCACACCCACTGTGGAAACTACAATTTTCATTCAAAGTTTTCCCATTAAACTCATGCTGGGTTTTATATGCTCTGGCATATAAAAAGACTAGGGTAAAATTATTTAACCACT